AATTCATCATCACTTTTTACAACTTGGTGACCTACCCTCTGCTTTACAAAATTAATATGAACAATTGTATTCAGTCACGAGGTATCATGGCACAAGTAAATGTAAAGTGTAAAGAGAGAGAAACTACAAATACATAAAAATAAAACCTATGTACATATCAACTGAATATATTACAATATGATGCACTTGCAAGTAATATCAAAAGAGTTTTACTGCTGCGGTCAGAAATACACATTGTTAAGATTTAGTTCACGAGTATCTTGTGAACATTAACATCCAGTACTCGTACTTTGAGCCCTGCTTTGCAAATACTGTAGTCTCAGACTTCGTGTATGAACCTTTTCTTAATTTTTTTTTACACGGGAATCTTCTTAATGCATTAGCCAATGTCATGTGTATCTTTGTGGGGAAAGGGGAATACTGTATACAGTATTGCTCACTTGATGATGTGCAGTAAAGATTACCAACAAAGTATACGCAGAGTTTGATGCTTGTATACTTTGATGTTATTCATACGTTCCTCATAACTATGCTAGATGATAGGACTTAACATAAATAATAATCATAAATTATCCCCTATTTTCTGTATTATTTTACACCATTCTCTATGTGTTGGGAGGGGCAAGGGAACCAAATCCCCAAAGTGAGAATACAGTTAGAAGGGAATTGCAGAAAACAAGTAAAAATTAACAGGAATTTGCTGTACAGTGGTCCCTCAGTTAAATAACACAATTCGTTCCACAGTCGTTTGTTAACCGAATCTAGTATTTCAATGGGATATTGGTTCCAACCCACAGAAAAAATATACATACAAAGTACTGTATACCAGTAATAGAATTACCCAAACATTAAATAAAAACTATAGTACAGTACAGGTATGACCTGCCTCAGTCATACCAAAATTTGGTCAAATTATGTATTTTTGAGTCCCAAAGTCAGTACAGAGAAAATTTTCATCTGTAAATCACTTTAAAATGGCTGGCAAGCTTAAAAGTGAGAGTTTTATGGTGCTGAGAAGAAAAAGAGACACCCATTTTCGATTTTCTATGTGCTATTCAAGCATTTCCGACTTACAATCTGGATGTCGGTCCCTAACCCCTTCGTAAATCGTGGAGTACCTGTATACTGTATAATAATAAATAAAAAAAAACAATAAAATACTATACTTTAACTTACTTTGAGGTGTGTATGTCGTATTGCCGGCAGCTTTGTTTACATATCAAACAGCTGATTGTAGAGGCAGTCGATGATGACATGCCATATTCTTTACAGTGCATTGGTTCTAATGCCTTCTTCGTGATTCATAATAATTTCTGCACTGTATATTATCAATATGTTAACTAAATTTCAGAATGACCAATAATTTTAATGTAAAAATGCAAAAATATTCAAGAGACCAGCAAAATCGATGTTCACTCCACTGTAAACAAAGTTAAACTGAGAAGCGTTGTTGGGTGATTCAATCAGCTGATGGGTGCACAAAAACTGTTCCCTGTACAGTATATATTATCAATATGTTAACTAAATTAGAATGACCAATAATTTTAATATAAAAAATGCAAAAATATTCAAGAGACCAACTTTCTTGATATTTACTTCACTGGAAACAAATGTAAACATAGAACAAATTACTGTATTGGCAGACTAGCCGATCAGCTGATGCGCACAACAAAACATGTTTGTCGTAAGTATTTTGTTAATCGAACTGAAAATCCTTATGGAAGCTAATTCGTTAATCGATCCGTTCGTTAACCGAGGAACCGCTGTACTGTATACAAAGTGAATTATTAAACTCCACATTTTTTATAATGCTTCACAACAATTTATAGTGCAAACTAAGCAGAGCTGTCGGGGTCATTCACACAAATATTACCACACACAAAATTCCATTGTAGTGTAGTTAACTTTTTTTTTTTACGGGGATTAGCCCACCCGGGCACAGGTCACTGACCCACATCGGGGCCTAGGGGGTAATAATAATAATAATAAAAATAGTAATAAAAATAATGAACCATAAAAAATACAAAAATGAAGAGATCAACAGTGAGAAACAATATATGTACAGTATGTTTTGTTGTCAATAGTAAGAGAAACAATTGAGACCCTGCAATTGTGTGTAAATCAGATCAGCAACCTGGGACTTGGTCACAATTTTCATGATGCCATATGGCAGCAGGGTCTACCATTAGACAACACATTATGCTTCCAATACCTTCCCAGGCAGTAGTACCTCTCTGTTTGGTAGCTGCCTACTACCAACACAACCTAAAGTGTCATCTAAACCTCATATGTCATCACTCTTTCAGTCTCCCTCTTTTTACCGTACCTCTAAGCATATTGTCATCAATATTTTTCACCAGTGTTTCACTGGCCATACATTCCATATACTTATTTATTTTGTATGTCTGTGTGCCTTATTCTTGGTTCTTACCACCCTGTATGAAGAGTAATAAAAGAGGCTTGAAAGTGTATAATAAATGCTCAATTTCATTTAAAAATTAAGATAAATAATCCAGTTTGTGTATGAGTGAAGCCACTTGAATAATGGTTTGTGATTAATATGGGTAAGAAAGTACAGATAGATGAAATACGTATATGTACTGTGGAGAGTAGACAAATTACTGAAATGCTATACAGTTATGGTACTCTAAGGAGATTTTATTATGACTGATGTTTACTGTACAGAGGGAAATATACCGGTATTTGGGACTGAAAGAATGAATCATGTAAATTTTTTACCCACAAATAACTAATCTTATGGATATACAGTACATTATACAGGTATACCTGTGAGCCATGTTATTTTTTAATTCGTAATTTTGGGTAATTAATTTTTTTTTACTCTATTGCATGCACACAATCATTCATACAGAATTTGCAAAAACATGAAGGGAATAAACATTTGTTATGTGTGCGAGAGTTAGCACACGCAGTGGGGGATCTCTCCGCTCTTGTCCCGTGAAACGATTGCCAAATGGCAGTTACCAAGCCGACTCTTCACGAAATGTGTGGCGACTGCCTGTATGCCGTGATGCCACATGGGGGTTGCTGCATTTACAGCTCAATGCCTCAATACCTATGATCATTTCCCACAATTACACAAACATGCAGTTCATTTTTTTATTTTATAGTTTTATATTATATTTTCTTTATTTCTAAACCACATTAGAGTATTGTGATGATGCGCACTTGGAGCACAGAATCCCCAGTTTTCCCTACATAATTTTTCCAGTGAGTTGAAGATAGCTAAACCAAAATTAACGAGTGTTAAATTAGAAAGACTGCATGGAAATTGCTTATGTGGTACTGTAACATGTGTAAATTTGGTGGAGGGGGATATGGGTGTTAAATTGGTTCACTTAAAAACCTTGTTTGCACATGCTGCCATAATCACGATCATACTGTACATCACACGAGAACTTGGCATAAAATATTAAGAATTTTTGTAACACCTTGTGATTGGCTCTTTAGCCCCTTGGGTACGAGTCCCTCTGTGCTGAATAAAATCATCTCGTGTTTGCTAAATAAAATATTAAAAGTGGCTAGTAGAGATAGTTTACTAATCACCTCATTTGACTTATTGAACCAATCAGTGGCCTTGTTTAATTTCGTCAGTCAGACATGGTGTGATGACACAAATCTTGAAACTTTGAAGGAAATGCTTAAAGATAGGAGACATAGAATTCTTTCAAGTTAACATATACAGTACACCAAAAAAATGTTGGTGTAGGATGGATAAGATGAGGCAGAACTGGATTGAAAGATTTCAAAGTATAACATGAAAAGATAGCATAAAATTGATCAAGAGCACTGGGGAGACCTTGACATGAAATGTAAGTTATCACGAGTGTAAGAGGATGCACCAAGGTCATACCAACAGTAAGGAGACATATCACATGTTCCAACGGGACGTAGTAACAGCATTAATAGAGACCGAATGTGAAAAGGACCTAGGTGTGTATGTTGACAACAAACTGAAGTTCTTAGGCCATTGTGAGAAGGTGAAACGTGACTAAACTAGTAGGTCTTATAAGGTCATTCAGATATCTAGACGGTCCATCCTTCATAACACTCATGAGTGAGATGCTTCCTTGTCTGGTCCCCGAGACATGCCAGAAACTGTCAGTTGATTGCAAATGTCCAAAGGGCCACCAGACTGGTCCCTGCACTATGGCAGCTCCACTATCCAGAGAGATTAGTAGGCCTGCAAATGCCTAGCTTTTATTATAGAAGGACAAGGGGGGACCAACTACTACTCACATTTTGGACAAGCTCTTTCACATGCGACTTAAAAGTGTATGTATTTCAGAATAAGGATGCAAAATTATTAAAACCAAATTAAAGCAAGGCAATTGAATTTGAAAAGGGGAAGTTGGAGTGTACAATTACCGTTTGATTGGGTAAACATATGACGAGGTTATAAACTGTTTAGGTAATACTGTACTTATGTGAAGGACAGTGTTTTCATAAGATGTAGCATATGTGGAGGTAGACATACAGCTAGAGTCTTGTACAATAGGTAACAATTGAAAAAATGGGAACCATTAAGTGTGGTAATGTTAATCATGAGTTGTGGAACACAGCACAAAAGCTGAATAGTGTAGAAGAACAGGTTGCTAAGGTTCTTCAAAAAAGTAAAATTATAGAGATTCAATAAATGTCACTTTACCTTTCAAGCAAAGAGTTCATGGGGGCTGCCCTGTACCCTAGTGGTGTTTTTAAGAAACTTAGATAAAAACACATAAGTTTATCTTACATGTAAACTTGATGCAAGTACAGTACTCAACAGAAGTCACAAAACAGTCAATAAATGTTAGAAAAATCGCATTAATCAATCGCTTGAAGGTCACACAAAAAATTTGGGTAGTGTAAAATCTTAAATCCATTGTAAAATACAGTACAACATCTTTTGGTGAACTCAACTCTGGTACTCCTGGCCAAGGTCAGAAATCTCACCCCCCATGATCTTTAGTTACAAATAGTGTTGTTTACACCCCCCCCATCTTTCAAGGTAACATGAACGTTTTTTTTTTTTTCATTTTAATAAACACTGGGTAGAGAAATCCAGACCCAAATTGCACCCTTATAGAAGCATCTGCTAGCCCACAAGAAGGTTAACAGGCTGCATCATATGATATTGATGTGAACCGTCTCATGTCACAAAGTGTCAGTTGAATAACCAGAGGTCCTATTGTAATTCACTGTGAAAATAATGGTACACAGTATGGTCTGAAGATGGAAGAGGTATTTGTTGCAAAAACTAATGCCTGATTTAGTGCAAGAAATTTTAAAAGCCTCGTGATAATCATGTACAGTATATGACAATTATTGTTTCACAGCCAATGGCTATTATCATACACATGTGGCATTCTTACCGATAGGGTTAAAATTTCGATGAATGAAGGGGAATAATTGCTGAAGAATCTTAAATTATGGAGTAAGGACAGAGTTAAGAAAGTATGTAAATAAGAACATGGACTGCCCCTCGCCACCACAAAGGAAATAATCGAAACATAAAAAATCTCAGTTATTTGTTACATGAACTTCGCAGAGTAAATTTGCAAGTCATTTTCAATATATATATATATATATATATATATATATATATATATATATATATAATGGTGGGAGAATCTACATACTGTAGTTCAAAGACGTGTTCTAGGTCACTACTGTAAATAAACAAATGTACAGTACAGTATATCATATTTCATCTATCAAGTTATCTATATATAAACCTGAGAACAATAAACCATTTCCTCTCCCCAATACACAAGACATTTTAAGTAATATAATATTACTTTGATGCTAATTACACAAATCTCCCATTCAAATGTATGTATACTATAGTATTTTAATAGAGCATACTGTACTTAAAGATGTGTTTAATAGTAGAAACATTTGTCTCACTGATATTTACAGTTTACAGGCAGTCCCTGAGTTATGTTCCTGGACTCTGTTCATAATTGGATCTTTTCGTAAGTCAGAACGATGTTAATTCCATAGGTTAGGTTAAAACATAACCCTGCCCATACAAAACAACAATAATACTGTATCCCACACAACAAATAATGTAATTACTGTAAATAAAGTGATGTTAAATAATATAAAGTAATGGAAAAATAAATAACTACCTTGACCGTTCATATGTACCAGCAAATGCTCGTACTTTGGAACAGATTTTTGTTATGAATATATATATTGAGATCCCGTTCGTAAGTTACAGGTGCTCATAAGTCGGGCGTTTGTAACTTGGTGACTGCCTGGATTTTTAAATTTTTATATTGTTTACACCAACAAATTGACTTCGTTAACCAACCACATTCCCTACAATATACTCCAGTCTTTATGTTGAGGGCAACATACATGTTTACAAAATGTGTAGTTTTTTTTATTTCAAATCTTGATCATAACTAAGAGATCACCGATTTGAAAAACATTTGAAAATACACTGCAGATAAATAAGCAATATTACAACGCTATATAGAAGGAAAACTTTGTTTAATAGGTCAAGTCAGGGATATGAAAAGCATGTACAGGGTAAGCAAAACTCCTGTATGAGACTAGTTTTGCATACAAAGTGCATCACTGAAAAACACCGTAATCACTACTTGTTTACATGTTTCATACAGAGCATACAGTACAATATATGTATCAAAAAAAAAGAAAAAAAAGAAGAGGTATCATGTTGCTTAAATCCTCTAACTTTCGGCTTCTTTTTCACTAAAAACATTAAAACATATGACTTTATCTCCAGTTAATCATCATAGCTTAACCTCATTTACCTTTTTTTCATTGTTGGTTATACTTATAAACTTCCTGTGGTATAATAACCATTAATTATATACAGTAACTCCCCTTAACTGTTTTGCAGAAAACTAACAATATTGAAATGACTTTTAAGTCCACTGTGAACTTAGAAAACTCATTACATAAACACACAAACACAAGTTATCATATTACTAAGTATGCAGAGCTTGTGATGAATGAGACTGGTGATGATGAATTATGATAATATAATCCAAAGCCAAAGGGAGGTAGACCATTTAAAAGGTGGATTAAGTTAGTAATTGAGTAGTTAAGGTCTAGAAATAGTGGCATGTCAGTGGAATGGCAAAGACCACATACACTGAAGAAGAGTGTATGAAACATAAACAATTAGCTGAGCTTTTCATCCTTTCTAATATTTACACTGAGCTTTATATCTTCTCCTTCAGTCTATACAGTACTCTTATGCACTTCGGGTTTGCTGTACCTGTTTCTTGCTACTTAGCCAAGATGGAATGTGGATATATTATTTTCACCTCAAACTTTGAAGAAATTTACATTTTATAACATCTATTCTGATTAGAGTCGATTAACTAATACCGTATAGGTTCCAAGCATCATTTATGTTTTAAAGAATTTATGGAATATAAGCTGCAAACCATTTGTTCTCTGTTGGTGACTTAAACATGATCTTCAAGAATTGTCACTTGTAATGGTCAACTACACAATTTCATAAAAGTTTATCATTATCAACTGTCAGTTCAGTTTGTTTTACCTCTTTCTTGATTTTGTACTCCTACTATTCCCCCAATATGCAAAGGAAACTCCAGCAACTATTTTTTACATATATTATTCTCAAGGTTGTGAGCAAAGAGCAACTGCTTTACATGGACAACAACACAAGGCATTATTGTCAATTCACTTCCTTGTTTTGTGTGTTGATGCAAAGTTTTTCCCTCCTAAACTACATGCAACCAAAGTGTTTATGAGAAGGATCTTCATGTACCATTCTGTGGAAAATCGGGGAACTGACATGCGAATTGGTCAAGATTCATGCATTGCTAAAGTATGTTACAAATACTGTAAACATACAGTGCACGTAAAAAAAAAAAAAAAGTATAAATTCTTACTAAAGTTGTTCTTGATTAGTAAACAAATTCCCATAATAATATACAGTACTCTTACAACATTAACAAACTAATTAACAAATACAAAAATTATTAAAATCTTCCGAAGTGTTTGTAAGGGCAGTGATGTCACAATTCTGGTACACCCACCGCAAAATTAATTCATATTTTGAGATTAATGAAATTATTATGCATTCAACTTTCCCTATTCTGAATTGTATACCGGACTACAAAAAGATGATCTCTGAATAAGTTACATTGCTATAATTCATAACTAATTTTCTTTCAATGTATTAGTGTAAATACTGTAACAGACAAATTTTACACCTACTTTGTAATTTACATAACAGATCTCCGAACACAAAGATAACTTTTCTGATATTCTAATTTTCATTCTGGGCCATCTAGTTATCCATGTTTAAGAAGCTATTCTGTATCACCAACCATGAATTTTAATTTTCTTTATATATACTGTACAGTATAGCAGTACTCTGTACTGGTGGATAATTAAATTAACCGATTGAGTAATGATTGCTATATTATTGACAGTTCTATATTTTCTTTGCAATTCTCTACATTTACAATTAATTGGGAGTTAACAGTATATAGGGCATCCCTAATGAAACAATTTAATACTGGACAGTTTCTGCTGGTGTGTGGACTTGAAATACTCTGTCTGAGGTAGGTCCTCTATACGAACATTGATTGTTATCGTTTCCATCTTCAATGTTTACAGACAAGCACTTGACTGGTTGGCAGAAATAAACCATGGGGATTGCTTTATTAATTTCTCTAAAACAATGTCCATGGAGATATAATTCAAACCAGAAACTTTTTAAAACAAGAATAAAATCATTATTTAAGCATTTAATCACTCACCAAAAATTTTTTTTACCAACTTGAGTAAACTGTGTTGTCACTGATCAATGTTCGTATATGGGTAATCCAAGAGTCACAGGAAGTTACAAGGTATTTCCAATCAGTGAAGCAATAAATGTTCAAGCACCAAGGATGAAACAGGGATGAATGATGATATGAATTATGAATATATCTCAAAATTTTCAAGTGAGAATGTATTTACATCCTTGATCCTTTTAAATACTATTATGCTCAATTTAAGCAGTCTTTTAATGTTTCAGTGGCATAAATTATTCCAAAAACTCTTACAATTTGTTAATATATTTTTTACATTTTCATCGCACCTTTTAATGTTGAAGTTAATGCATTTTCTATTTCATAAAGTTAAATTCAGAATGGAGCAGAAAGAACATGCCATTTATTAGGCGTTTTGTGGGAATTACTTCCTAATATTGAATATTTTGTGCTCGATTTGAGACTTAACTCAGCATCTTAAAACATTAACTTCAAAAATATATACAATAAATAGGCACAAGAACAGTATTTAAAAACAAAAACATCACGCTACGAGCATGAAGAAATGGATTTTATCTTGAAGACATTCCACCGGGTAAATTAATGGGTGAATGTACATAGCAATGTTTCAGTTGTGAAATGTTTGGTTCATTTTAATCCAAATAAACTTTTGGAGTTTTTCAATTAATTGTCATACATGGCTATGTCCTGTAACTTCCACTCACCTAGTTTGAGCCAAAATCTTATTTTTTCTGCAACACTCCCACAAACCACCCGAGAAATTAATCATGTAACTTAATGATTCCATAGTCCAACAGGAAACACCAAGCCAGAATAGTTTTTACACCATTTCTTTCCATAAAAAACTTACCCGCTGAAATATTGATTCTTAGGCACGCTGAAATAGGTTTTTTAACGGAAAACTTATCTAGCCTATAATAGGTTCTTAGGTATAACGAGAACGTTTGTGCTGGGGCGAATCCATAGTGACATCGTGGGTTGGGGATGAGGAGGGTGCTGGTCGCTTATTTCTTGCAAATTCGTCACAAATAAATGCCTGCAGCTCTGGCAGATGCGCTGAGTTTCGGCGTCGTGAGGATAGTGTGGGCGACCCAACTGGTGGTGGGCGTACATTTAAACTAGGCTGACCTGAAACAAAAGAACAAGAAGACACGATTTTTTTCTATATCCCATCCTCGACAAACATGACAGTTTTGTTCTAAATAAAACTTGGTAACACTGAAGATAACACATCTTCTTGACTGAACCCACTACTATTTCAATCCCTAAATTTGTTGGTTGAGCAATAATTACTAGAATTACAAACTTTCATTATAATTTAGGCAAAACTACCTAACATCACAATTAATGACCAATCACCAGTCTTTTACTTGTTTTTATGTTGTAAGTTGTAATGTAGGGAGATCCTAAGCTGCCACAGTACTTAACCTTTCATTCAAATACTTTATGCTATTACAGTACTGTATTTTTTGTTATTAAATCATTTTTGTTTGAATGTGGTTAAATAGTGAAAGAAATAGGTCAGGGACAGTACAGAATGGCTTGTGAAACATATCTATCCTTTTACATTTAATTACTGGTTAGTTGTAAGTTTTTGGGGATTTTGCCTCATGCAAACTTTGAGGTTAAGAATTTCTCAAGGTAACCAAATTATGAGTTGTGGAGGGTTTTCTGTGCATTATTAGGTTTTAACTAATTAATGGAATATATCAACCAATAAGCATAATGTAATGTCTAACAGTAGACCCTGCTGCCATATGGCATCACAAAAATTGTGACCAAGTCCCAGGTTGCTAATCTGATTTTCTGCCTCATTTACACACAATGGAAAGTTGACGGTTCTGGGTAAACATAAGAAATACACTCTGCTATGTCCATAGAGTGATACGGTATATATTATTTAAACTTTTATTACAAAGTCCTGCTAGCTGCTATAATAGTCGAGATAAGTATATTTCTCTAGAAACAGGGCCACCATTTGCAATTACGTCACTAGTTTCAAACTCATCACTGCAGTACTAGAAAGGGTGGCCTCTTCAGACAAGTTTTAACGGTGTTTACTTTTTTTATGACCTAAGTCATGGACATTTCGTGAGTGACGAAATGTACCGTGGAAATCAGCTTCAAACATAGGTTGGATGGATATATGAGCAATAGGGGTTGGGTGTAAATGGGACTGCCCAGCATAGGCCAATAGATCCAATGCAGTTTCCTCCATTCTTTTGTTCCTTTGGACATAAAAAAAACTCCCATGTTCACATTTACAGAATTTATAGGTACTAGATGGAGATACTAGTATATTTAGAAGTAATGACATTGTCTGGACTTTGTTTTGAGAATGCCTGATACTTGGTAAACATGACAACATAGTGCTGTTATTGTTTTGATGGGAGATATCATCATATATGTTATTTAATGGGTAAAATTTTACTATATCTACCATAAGTATTTTGGTGTTTAGATTTGAGATAGGCTATATTGGGTAAATTTTAAGTTTTGGTCATCCCTGTACTGAAGACATGCAGACTATAGTTTTTTCTGTTGGTTTGTGATGTGTTACGATTTAGACCTTCATTTCTATCGGAAATCACTGGTTTTGAGTTACTACCCCCCCTTGCCAATGTAGGTTAAACTAGCCTTATAACTCATCATACATACCCTAACCTAGCCTTATGATCTGTATCTTCTTATGCAATTGAAAAATGTTGTGACAGAAATCCTGTAGAAATAATGTGTCTTATTGTTTAAAGTACTGAATCCCATAGTTAAAATTTTAAGGTTCCCCAGATGACCAAAAGCAAAATAATATCAATATTGTTTGGAATGGTTATACAATGAAATTTGTTGTATGGGCAGCTAATATCCATTGAATTAGTTTATGTGCTTAGTAATATTTATTTATTCAACAGAGTTTTACTGTGTTGCACAATTAATTATCTAATAATATTTATTTACCGAGCCGATCAGCCAAGAAAGTTGGACAACTACAGCTGGCTGACTCCCGCTGGGAAGCGCGCCCCAACCAGTGATGTAACAACCAATCAAAGAGCTTTTTGTGGTTACGTGACTTTTCAGCAACTAAACCCTTATTTTTGACACCCTTTGGCTCAATTTATTTAATAACATCATTACCATAGTGAATTTAAGCATTTTCTTTACCCATTGACCTGCCATCTTAGGAAAAAAAATTCTGACCGTCAATTCATCCATTGCAGGGTCTCAATTGTTTCTCTTACTTTGAAAACAAAACATACTGTACATATACAACACAACATACATATATTGTTCCTCACTTTTGATAATTTTTTTTCTTTATTAATATTACGGTGTTGTTATTACAGTGGTCCCTCGGTTAACGAACGGTTCAGTTAATGAATTACCTTCCATAAGAATCTTCAATTCGCTTAACGAAATCCTTACGAAAATCATGTTTTGTTGTGAGTATCAGCTGATGGGCTAGTCTGCCAATTCAGTAATCTGTTCCATGTTTACATTCGTTTCCAATGGAGTAAATATCAATAAAGTTGTGCTCTTTAATATTTTTGCATGTTTTATATCAAATTATTAGCCATTTTAACATTTATTTAACATATTGATAATATATGCAGTACTGTACAGTGAACTAGTTTTTTGTGCGCCTATCAGATGCGTGAGTCGGTCACAAAGTGTCAGTTGGGCTTTGAAAACAATGGAGAGCATCTATTTTGTTGGTGTCTTGAATATTTTTGCATTTTTCATTGAAATTATTGGTCATTCTGAACTTTAGTTAACGTATTGACAATATATAGTGCAGTGTAGTATTGATTTAAATAAAATAATCTTGAATTACACCTAGTGAACTTAAAATTTTATTGGTGAAATTACTGCATCAACCATGGGTCTCCTGAAAGGTGATTTCTCCTCCATCCCCACTTCCTTCTCTTCTCCCCCACCCCCACTTCTAATTCCCATCATCATCAACCAGGAGCCTTCTACATACACACCTCAAAGTAAGTGTACTTTACTGCATTTTTTTTACTTTGTATGTACTTTTAAGTTAACGGGAACCAATTATCCAATATCCCATTGAAACAATAGATTCGGTTAACGAACAACCCTCTGGAACGAATTGTGTTCGTTAACTGAGGGACCACTGTATTATCATTATTATTTTAATTTTTATTAAAATTTTTATATACAGTGGTCCCTTGGTTAACGAACACAATTTGTTCCAGAAGGTCGTTCGTTAACTGAAACCATTGTTTCAATGGGATTTTGGGTAATTGGTTCCAGCTCACTGAAAATTACATACAAAGTAAAAATAAATGCAGTAAAGTACACTTACTTTGAGGTGTGTGTGTAGAAGGCTCCTGGTTGATGATGATGATGATGGGAATTAGAATGGGGGTGGAGGAGAAGGGAGAAGAGAAGGAAGTGGGGGTGGAAGAGAAATCACCCCATGCTTGATGCCGTCATTTCACCCATAAAAGTTCACTAGGTGTAATTCAAGATTATTTTCTTTAAATCAACACTGCACTGCACTATATATTGTCAATATGTAAAATAAATTTCAGAATGACCAATAATTGTATTGTAAAAATAGTTTACCCCAGTATGTTCAGGAGTGCCACAAGCTAGATGTTACCTCCACTGACCAGATACAAACTAACGCCTTGCTGGGTGAGTCAAGTGGCTGATTGGCGCACCAAAAACTGGTTTCCTGTACTGCAATTGTGTTAAATAAGTGTTAAAATGACTAAAACATTTAATAAAAAAAACTTGGAAAATTATTGAATAGTACAGTATAGTCTGGATTTACGTGGTTTTTGTTTACGTGTTTGGTCATTTATGCGGTGCCTTGCCAGAATTAAATGTTTTAATTACACGGTAAATTTGGTCATTTACGCAGCGAGGTACAGACGAGTCGCGCCATTTTTTACTCACTCAGTTTATTCTTGACCATACGCAGGAAGCGGCGCGGTGTGGGGTGCGCATTAGGCCGCTCTTACGTTATCACTGACGTCATATGACGTATCGGACTGTGATTGGGCCACGCATCCCTACCATCCACGCATTCCCTCCGCCGCTAGCTGTGATTGGTCTAATGTAACATGACATGCCCTGCCACCAGAGGGGAGAAGTCGCTGACCTAGTCGGGCCTGTCTCATTGTTCTCAGTCCGCGTATACAGTTCTCTCTTGTGCCTCCAATTCCCCTCACAATGGCTTCCGCTGGACCCCCACCACCCGAGAAAAACCTTGAATTACCTGGACCAAGCCATGATTGTGTGAAGGAAATCATCGAGTTGGGGGAGAAAATTAAGCTCATCCTTGACAACGATCCAGACAAGCATCGATATGAAGAGTCTAATAACCATCTGATGAAAGTTATGGAGCGGTATATCCAGATCTATCTCGACAACATCAATGCTAGTCATCAACGTAGTGTTAAGGACTTCTTCGCCCGCAACCCACCACAACCACAGCCAGCCCAAGTCAGTGAGTGTGATAGTGACAGTGAGGATATGGACTTTGAGGGGTTTGTCTGAGAGGCCCTGGAAACCTCTGTGAGTAGTGAAAGTGATTCACCGGAGGGCAACTAATCTGCCCTCTGCCTCGGAACCGGACGTGTGCCGACCCAGCTTTTCTACTAACGTAAGTGTTAAAAAACCTAATATTATTGATATTTCTCTTTAATATTAATTGTGTGTGCATACCATCATAAAATTATAAGATGTTATTTTTACTACAAGGTACGTATTGTGTCGGAAAAAGTGGAGTTTGGGGGTCAGCCCAGTCTCTATTTCAATTAATCCCATATGTTCTGTTATTTCTTTTACGCGTTTCCAATTTTACGCGGACCTCCACAGGTTCAATTGACCGCATAAAAGCAGACTATACTGTACAACCTTCTTGATATTTACTTAAATGGGACTGAATTTAAACCCTAGAACCGATTACTGTATTGGCGGACTAATATTCCAGCTGGTAAGCAAGCGAAAACATGTTGACATGATTTCGTAAAAATTTCGTTAACCGAATTGAAGATTCTTATGGAAGGTAATTAGTTAACCAAGGGATCACTGTATTATGAATAATTATTATTATTACAGTATTACATTTTCACCCCCCAGGCCTCGATGTGGGTCAGTGACCAATGCCCAGGTGGGCTAATCCCTGTATTTAAAAAAAAAAAAAAAAAAAAAGGCGGGGGGGCCAACAGATCTAAAAGCGCCACCCCACCACGGCATAGCTCCACACTTAATTTTACACGTGGCTGCCTTGGCAGGCAATCACACCAACAAATGTTGCATATAATTCCTTTTCTCATAAGTCAATACAGTGTTTGATGGTATGTAAAAAAGTGTTGTAGTACTGTATTCAAACATACCTAAAAGACTGACCAGCATTTTCTATCACACTGATGATTCTCTATTCGATTCACAACTAATCTAGTTGGTTATACTGTATTTGACATTATTATAATTAGCAAGAAATGTGATGTACTATAAAATATGTTGTAATTAATGATAGATGTTGCTTCCTCTCACCATGGGATCGCTGCACAAATATTTGGCACGGAAACCATCTACCCATTCTTAAAATGTGCAAGGAGAGAGCAGACAAGTGCTACTGTCAAATCTATACAAACTGCATTATAACAAATCACACAAGTTTTTGTATATCTCTCATAAACAATCTACATTAAAACTAAGTTTTCTGGCACAGTAACTACCATTTCAAAAGAATCTGTAACTATGACTTTGAGCTATTTACTAATCACCAACTGTTATTTCATTTAGTAACACTACAGTACTTGTGTCAGAAACAAAAACTAAATAGTTTAAAATTTTACAAAATGGAACAACTACACTTCAAAGTTACATAAAACATAAAATACTTCTACCTACCTGAAATTCCAAGAGCTTCCCTGAAAGTATTAAGATCTGGATCTGGATTGTGGGCATGGGAGTGCATGTGTGTGTGATGAGGACTTGGCAAGCGTGGACTCATGCGTTCCAA